CCCCGCCCACGACACAGAACTACTTTGTTCCTCAGCTTCCTCTCCTAGAGGCACCCTGGGCCTCCACGAGAATGCTCATCCACAGGCCAGGGCCCTTTCTCTTTTCTCAGGAGCACAATCAAAATCGGATGAGTGAATTACTTGAAAGCTTGCTGCAGCCTAATCCCCAGGGTCTTTCTCGTCAGTCAGCCTAAGCCCAGGCCTCTCTGGACCCGGTCTTTAAACTTTGGCCCAGTCACTGGATCACAATTCAAACAAGGGAAGGCACCGCACAGTCCTAGAACCACAGGCCGTTGGCAGAGAAGCCCTTGAACATACTCCAGGGTCAGCAAGTAGCCCCTGATGACCAAGCCCTGACCTCAGGGTCCCGCAAATACACTCTTTCTAAGGGTAGGCAGGAGTGCTGGGCAAACGCTTAGCCAGAGCCACGCACACAGACAGATGCGCCCTCAGGAAGTTGGAATGTCAGCAGACACCAGTGTGCATGCAGACAGGCAGACTTTCTAACTCCACCCCACCCCCACCCCCGTCCATGGGCACAGGTGAAGCTTGAGTCCACACCTGGGGACTCTGGACGTCACGGCAGTCCCAGTGGCCTTTTCTTCAGTTGCCCAGCTCTAGTGAAGAGACAATTCAGCTATTTAATGTAGGAAAATCTGCAGACTCATACAGCACGTTTTAAGGTGTGTCACTGTTTATTGCCGCTCAGACAGAACGAGGCACGGAGCCGCATGCTTCTGGGCGCTGGTGGAGGGTGGGCGGGGCAGCTCTTCCTTCTCGCTGGCTCCAGTGCCGATGCAGCCCTGCAACACACGCGCCGGCCGTCAGCCTCCTGCCTGATGCCCGCCGGCCTCACTTTCCTGAAGCGCAAACACTGACAACCGTGGGGCGCTCACTGGAAGGCAGGCAAGACCCTCACTTACTGACTTGCATTTACTTCAAGGTGTGGAGGATGCCCGACGCGCACACAGAGAACAAGTCTCAGGCTCGTTCTCTCCTCGCTTCGCTTTGCATTCGCCATCCTATTTCCGGCCCAGAGCTGAGCGCCCCTGGTGGCAGTTGGGTGATGGGCTGGGCCCCTTCTCTGGGGGTGGGGGGTTGGGGGGTACACCCCATCAGCCTCAGTTTCCCTGACTGGCTCCACCTCCACAGCCTGGGGGTGAATGGGGAGCGATTCTAGGCAGGAGGAGAGACAGGCTCTCCAGGGAGCAACTGCCTTAACCGGGCCTAACCGCCCTGTTCCCAGAGGGGACGCAGTCATGGGAAACGACCCTGAGAGATTTTTACCACCTAAGGCTTGTTTTTATACTGAAAAAAGATGGATTACAATGTTAGTGGACACCCTCTGAATAAACTCAAGAACAGACAGGGTACAAAGCAGGATAATCATCCATTAGTCCAAGGAGAAAACTTCACTTGGGAAAAACGTGTCTGAGTTTAATGCTACTGTAGAAAGCCTCTCCAAACCACTCTTGCGTTTTCAAAAGAGAATCAGCTCTCCCTGTGAGAGCAGGCTAATGCGAGCACAGCTCTCGGAGTCAGAGATGGAATAGGCATTCAGACACTATCGTTTTATGATCTGTTCTGATTTCTGATGCTCCGTTGCACACAGAAGCGTCTGTCTGTCTGTCTGTCTGTGTTGGTAAGCCATTCTTGATCAAAACAGTCTCATCAACAGCAGACCTCACTGGGAGGGTTTTCCTGGCTGGGCTCAAACAGCACCTACGGCTGGCTCTTAAGCTATGAAATGTCATATAGAAGAGGCATTGGGGAAAAAAGCTGAATAAAGAAAGCTTTAACTTGATGAAATATTTTTCTTTTAACATGTCACATTAAAAAAAAAAAAGTAGGGGCCGGCCGAGTGGCTCAGTTGGTTAAGAGCTCGCTCAAGAGTTTGAGCTCTGAGCAACAGCTGTTCGAGTCCAGCCCGAGCTGAGCAGCCGCTGAGCTGCCAACAGGTGGCAGGATGGCTCAGCTAAAAAAAAACACAAAAAAACAAAAAACAAAACAAAACAAAAAAAAAGTAAACCAAAATAACAAACGAGTTTTACCCTTACCCCTCTTCCAAGGAGTCTACAGAAGCAGCCTCGCTTTGGTTTGCGAACTGGTTGCCATGTTTTGTCTTCTAGATCTAAGGCCACACTTTCCTCACTCACACTTTCGTTGATGTCATTGAAACACCCAGATTCAATCATCTGCGTCACAGAAGAGCAGGACACAAGCTCAGACAGCCACCTCCCGGCCGCCCGAGTCGCCGTCCTCACTCCTACTTCCCCACTTCCTGACCTTCCTGGGGTAAGTACCATGGCCTCCCCTTCCCTTCCCGCTGAGCACACCCCCAGAGGAGTCACCACCGTGAGAGCGATGGTGCCGGCTGGCCGAGCTGAGGGAGCGGGACTCGGGGCCAGCAAGCCCCCACTGGACCCAAGATGGCCATCTCCTGTGAAGGGGCCCAGGGCAGTGCCGTGAATATGGTGACACACGCACGTGTGTACAACAGCTAACGGTATTTTAAAGAGGACACTGTTAGACACACATTCCTCATCCTTTTCCTTCTGTCCTTGTAACTAGCACAGTCCTGCTGTGCTGAGAAGGGTGGTACCTCGTTCTGCCAGGGGATGGAGACACACCCCGTGACAAACTGGCTGTAGAAGGTGTCGTCTGCAGGCCCCAGGGAGACTCCTTTCACCGCAGAGAACTGCTTGATGTCCAAGACGTCCTTACAATAAACCGCATGAGGCTGTGCGGGGAGCAAGGGGGCACAGAGCGTGAGACCACGGGGACCCCACTGAGAAGAGACGTGCACGGACACGTCTACCATTCCTGCGTTTTGGCCGAGCCCTCATCTGAAGCATTTCTGCCCCTTCCCCGCAGACACGGCCAGCGTCACAGACCCGTGGGCGCCACTGCCCCAGCTCCCTCATGGCTGTCTACCCACAAACTTCCTGAGGCCCCAACCCGGGGCCTTTTCTGCTGTGGAAAATGGTTCTGGACAGAGGCCGGGCTGAAGAAGACGGGCCGGGGTGCTCTTGTTGGAACTGAGAAGGAGGGAGCCGTCGGCTGTGGCTTCTCCCCTGTGCTCTGACCCCTGCTCCCTTCACAGAAAGCGCCCTGTGCAAAGTCTCGCTGAACAATGTCAGGTCCCGCTTCCTGCTCGCCATCAGAGCTCATCTAGCGGTCCCCAGCCCACAGATGCATCGCAGGGGATCGGCAGACCCCTGCTCTAGGACAGGAGCCAGCTCTGCTGTCCTCAGGTGCAAGGCGTGTCCGGTGCGGCTGCCTGGCTTGTGGGATGAGGGACCGGAAGCCAGGCGCACACAACTGGGCCAGGCCCGGCTGATGCAGGAGGAACCCGGTAGCTCTGTGAAACGTCCTATGCGCATGCATGTGTAATTGATCAAAGAGTAATGTTCCCTACCATCCCCTCAAAAACTCTCATTAGTCCTTGAGATACTGTGACCAATTAATTGAAATTGAAGTCACCTAAAAATTTTACTTCCTTCAGCAATTCTTTACCTTCATGAAGTGTTACTTAGAATTAGAATATTAACACTGCCTTACAGCTCCTAGCTGCTGTGTGCTTCTAAATGATAGGTGATTACTTAAATGATGGAAGCTAATGTTTACAAAAAGAAAAAAAAAAAAAGAGTAATGTTCCCCAGGTCACTGTTGGAACTCTGTGAAAGCAGCTGCCACCACAGGTGGGGAAGTAGAAGCCCTCGGGAGACAGTCTTGGGCCAGGCTGACGAGGGTTGAGCCCCGACAGAGGGCCCAGACCCCGTATGGCCTGTCATGTGAACAAAACTGCCTGACACATTACCATCAGCCTCTATTGTCACCGGGCCCCACGTTCTTCTGGTGAAGTCCAGTAAACCCCCAGAACCACCGAGCCCCTGCCCACGCTCCTCAGCACGGTGCCTGCCAGCTCTCCTTCCTCAGGGGAGACTGTCTCGGGCCCATCTTCCCTGCTCCGGACCCAAGCAGCCCCCAGAGCCTGCTGGAAAGAAGGCTCCAAGACCGAGGGCCCACTGAAGGCCCTGCCTGGGGCCGTCCTGGCCTGAAATTTGTTCCACTGCCTATCTGTGCAGCCTGGACCAGGCAGCGTCACAGCAGACGCTGCTTCACTCTTATCCGTGGCTCCAGTACCCACAGCTGTGGCTGGCAGGTCGCAGGCATACAATAAACAGGCAACACGTGCACAATTCAAAGGAAGGAGTTACTACTGCAAGATTCGTGGGTGTAAAACAAACTCGAGTCCTGACGCGTCCAACCACAAAGATTGTAACTGTCCATCTTCCTTCCACGCCATCCTGCAGAGCATCTCATCCTCACAGCTCTACAGCACGCTGCAGCAGATGGCTAAGCTAGTCTGTTGTTTTCTCCCGTTTGTGCTTTCAGCAACAGCATAAACAGTCTGCCAGTCTTCCCACGAGGCACTGACACATGCCGGGCCCTGGGCCAAGCACCCCTCTGCGCCCCACAGCACACTCATGAGCAGGCTCGAGTGACGGCTGCAGGATCCTCCATGTGGAGCCAGGACCTCTAAGACAGAGTGGGGAAGCGCGTTCCAGACTAAAGAAAGGAGTGTGTCAGCAGTGACATCAGAAAGGAACACTGGCCACAGGGACGGCCTCGCAGGGCGCCCCAAGATCAGGGCCGAGGCTGCTGAGGAGGGCAGGGACACGGGCTCAGCCGCACCAGCAAGGTCAGCCCACGGCAGACACCAGGCCGGAAGCCAGAGCGCTGCTGAGAAGGCCTGGAGCGCGGCCTGGAAGTGGCCTGGGGCTGGAGAAGGAGGCAGCACGGCAGGAGTACCCCCAGAGGTCCTGGCCCCCTGGCCCGGCCGGCTGCACATTACTCACATCAGGGCGGAAAGGGGGCTCCAGCATGTTCGCCTCAAGCCTCCTGAAGTTAATGTCTTTGAACACAGGATGTCGCTTCACCCCAGCAGCCCCATCGCCCTGGCAGCCCAGGCGCTGCTTGGGGTTCTTGGTGAGAAGCTGTGAAGAAGCAGAGGCGGAATCAGAACACTCCCAGGACAGAAAAGAAGCTCAGCAACTGTCCCCAGTATTACCCAAAGAATTGGGGGTGGCAGGCAGCACCTCCATCTAATAGTCACTCAGATTTCCAAGTTCCAGCCAAACCTCCTACCTCTGATTGTGCTGACTTAGAACACGTGACGCTTCGACAAAAAGGCGGAGCGGTAGGCCTGCCTCCGAGCTAACGACAGTGGGCCCAGTGAGCTCTTACGTGAAAAGCAATGTAACCACGTAAAAGGGAGGGGACGTTCAAAAAGAAGCAAACCATGGAGCACTTTAGAGATACCTTCAATGCTAAGTTACACTTAGAAACCATTTTAATCTGTCCATTAAGCTCATCACTAAGGACCTCAGACAGGCAAAAACTAGCAAACCCAGTTCTAGAAATTGTATATTCTTAACATTAATAGAAAGCGTCTCTTTCTAATATATTTATAATTGTCACAAATTCAAACAAGCCTTCCTCCACAACCAGTATCAATCAAAAAGGGTTGGCTGTGCTCTAGGCAACATAGGAAAGACCCGGACCTCGGGAATACTGCCTGGAGTAGGAGCTAGGAAGCCGCAGCCCCAGGTGGCCCCATCAGCTGCCTGACCTTGTCTTGGCTTTGGTGGGAGCACAGCAGGCCCATCAATTCACTCTGTCTGTGCTGCTGCTATACTAAAAGGCAGAGCTGAAGAGTCATGATAGAGACCTACAGACCCTAAATAGTACTGACCATCTGGCCCCTCCCAGAAAAGCTTGCTGACCCCTGGCCAAACTCACACCCAGCAAATGTACCCCTCCCCGCTGCTTTCCTGAAGTCCCAGGCAAAGAGAGGGCACTGGGTGCCAGCTGACCTGCAATGCCCCAGCCCCCACTGTCTGAGCTCAGGCCTCCCGTCACCTCCTGGACTGACTGTGCTGTGCCTGCCCTTGGGCTGCCACACACACTCAGCCCTCCGTCTAGAAAACTCTTTGCCGGGCTGACTCCTAGTAAAGCCCTCAGGTTCCAGCTTCCTGCCTCAGAGCATCCTCCTCATCTCCCTTCGGCCACCTGGCCCCACTGCCGTGACTACATCACTTGGGTAACAGCCTGGAGCCGTCTTTCCTGCTGGACTTGGAGCTTCGGGGGGCAAGGGGCTGCTCTGTGCTCTGTCACCAGCACCAAGAGGACAGGGCCTCCTCCGTGGCATGGGCTTGGTGCAGGTATTCTCTGCATGCTTCGATAATTGAGCAGGTCTGAAGATGAAGGGTAACGTCAGACACAGCTCCTCCATCTCAGGGGTTGCATGGCTCCACCGTCAGGCCCGCTGCCGACACACTTGTGCAATGGCCTGACCAGCAGCACAGGGCAGAGGGAAGTGCCTGGGACCCGCCACATGTCTCCTGCCCCAGCCTCCTCCCTGCAGCACCACCTTCCCATACACCCAGAATCCGACCCCTTCTCACCTGGCTCTGCCACCACTCAGGTCTGAGCCGCACCCCCACTCCCACCCAAACCTTCTCAAAGCCCTGGCCGGCCTCCCTCCCTCCGTCCATCCATCTGTCCGTCCTGTGCAGCCCCTTCCCAGCATGTCCTCCATCAGGACTCTGCGAGGGAGGCTTCCCAAGGTGGGTGGCACGCTTTGCCCTTCCCCCACTCCCAGCCTGTCTGACAGTCCACGCATCTTCCTGTTTTCTGTCCATTCCCACCACCCCTGCAGAACGAGCACTGGGGACGGGGTTCTATTCTGTTTTACTCACTGCTGGATGCCCGGTGCCTAGGACAGTGCCTGTCCCATGGGAGATCTCAAAATCCTTATGATGAAAATGAATGAAAAAATGCGCCCAGAAAATCCTAAGTATTGACTTCAGATAAGTGACAAAAGGGCTTCTTTCATTCACTTAGTGTCTGGGCAGCCTCAGACTGAGTGAATGAAAGAAGGGGCACCGGCCAGCCCCAAGGGCGCATGAGGGAAATCTGACTGCGCCTCGGGGCCTCGTTCCCCGCTGTGACACACCAAGGAAAGAGGCAGGCCCTGGGCAGGTGGAGTCAGGGTGACTGTGATGAGGACAGTCCCTGGCAGCTAGCTAAAGGGAGAAGAAACACGGGCAGAGAGAAAACCCTCACTGTTTCAAAGTCCGTTGGAGATGCAGAAATTGGTCAGCTGTGTCCTGAAAAGAGACTAGTGACCTTGGTCTTGGCCCTTCCCTCCCTCAGCAGCATCGTTTGAGAAAGCCAAGCACAAGCTCTGCTCTGCCTCGTGTCGGAAACCCAACCAATCATCACATCATTTTCCCAGACGACGTCTGGGACTTCCCTTACTGTCCCGCCTGGCTTGAGAGGAAGCCCCACTGGCATTAGGAAGCCAGCCGATGGCCTCGCTGGCACAGCAGCCAGACAGGATTTCCCAGCGACAGCACTGAGGGACAGGCTTAATCCCCAAGCCGCCCGGCGCACCCACCATCCTGCAGATGGACTCGGCGTCCTCGGAAAACTTCCCAGAATAGTCCTCAGAGTCTTCCTTCACTCGCCGCTCCACCTGCTCCCGTCTGATTTTCTCTTTGAATTTTCTGAACGGAGAATGTCCCTGAATCATTTCATATATCAGACAGCCGAGTCCCCACCAGTCAGGGCTAAATGTATAGTTTTCATTATTGATCACTTCAGGAGCTACATAACAAATACAGGGAATTTAAATTAAATTAAATTGAGGTTTTAAATTTTCTTGTAATCACAAATAACGCAGTATGAATTTAATGTTTATGACAACATAGATGAACCTTAAAAACACATTAAGTGAAAAGAAGCCAGCCACAAAAGGCTGAATAGTGTATGATTCTATTTCTATGAAACAGGCAGAACAGACAAGTCCATGGGGACAGAAAATAGATCGGTGGGTACAGGGCTGGGGGTGGGAGGTGAGGAACAGGGGCACCTGTTGATGGGTGTGGGATTTTGTTGGGGTGATGAAAATGTTCTGAAACCAGACAGCGGTGGCAGGTGCACAACTCTGGGAATACACTGAAATCCCCAAACTGTAGACTTCAGATTGGTGGGTTTTATGGTACGTGGATTATATTTCAATACAACTGTCATTAGAAACTGTGTACTATTCACAGAACATGAAATGAATCACCACAGAGTAACTGCCTGGGAAAGGTGCTCTGGGGAAGACCCCGCCTCCCGACGGGGTGCTCCCTCCAAACACACAGAGCTACGCCCACGGGCACCCCACGGGCACTGGCCATCTATTCCCAATGTGGTCAAGGCCCCCAGCAGCAGGTGACAGCAGAAACAGTGGATTGTGGGGTGTTACTGCAGGACTCTGCCGAGGCCCTAGGGTGCCCCCCCTCATGTCAGAGGCCACCCCTGGGTGAGGCTAGCACCACCGGGCTGGGAACTGAGGTTATTCCTCTAGAGCCAACCTAAGGCCAGACCTCATATTCCCTGAGGGTTTGGAATAACCAGGGAATCCGATTTTCCAAGGGGTCTGCAGGGCCAGTGGGCACCGGGTGGCAGTGGCAGAGAGGCCTGCTGCCCTGCTGCTCCCAACCTGCCTTCACGGAGCCTTGCGGCCTCTACGGGCCTCCCTCCCAACTAGGAGAGGAGGGCAACAGCAGGACTCCTCGGAGGCTGCAAGGCGGGCTGGGTCCAGACTTCAAACACCGCCTGTGCAGCCGGGTGGAACCGATTTCCAGTGCGTTCACACATGAATTTCTGTGTTCTGAGGACTCGGACATCCGGAAAGACAGCGCAAGGACTTCTGGAGGGGTCTTTTACCTACCCATGTAGCCAACTGTTCCAACTCTTCCTCGGATCGTCCCCCCTTCTGGGATCTCCATGGCCAAACCAAGATCTGAAATCCGGATATGTCCTGCGTGTGTTCAAATACATTACGCAAATCATAGGGGGCGTGCCGACACTTTAACAATAATGGGGGAAAACAGCTAAGAAACATGGATGGTAATTACAGTAATCTACACTCAAAAACACTGAAATCTGAAATACACTTAACTTTTCCACACTTAGTGAAATATTATCCACTGTGTTCAGTTCCAATAGCAGCAGGAAATTAGGCTGATGCCTGGCTGCTGATCGGGGAGGCCTTTAACCACAGAAAACCAGTTGACAAGATACAAGCACTGGGCTTATTATTTTATTTCCATGTAACTACCAGATGCATAAATAAATAAAACTATAATAAATACTACATCAACCACAAAACAGCAAATAGACACTTTCTGTCAGAATAGCAGTGGGCTTATATGCAGGGGCAACAACAGACGAATAATGTGGAGTTTTTCTCTGAAGAATAAATGGTAACAAAGTCAGGAAATAATAAACAAAAGTGAGGAACTTCACTTTAAACCTGTATTATGTGTTCATGCGTTTACATGGGAAGACTTAAACAGTTATTAAATTCCTTATGAAAATAACAAATTATAGAAAACATTCTTTTGGGAGTCTGAAAAGATAAACTAGCCCTGGGACAGACACCTGTTCAATTTACTTACCTCTGTGTCCCCAGCTTTTAATATAGCACCTGACATATAGTAGGTGCTCAGTAAATATTTACTGAAGAAATAAATGACTCTCCCAGTAAATACCTGCTGAGCACTGAAAACATGCACCGTGCCCTCTAAGGCACTGAATCAGCTTGCGTCAGTCTGCGCCAGGCCTGAGACAGGAAGACGGCCCTCTGGCTCGGGCTGCGCTGCAGCATGGGGCACGCCATGCCCTGGGCACACCCACCCAGGGAGGCAGCTCTGCAGCCCCGTGGGCTGGGTTTCAGTCCCAGCTCCCACACAGACCATGTCTCAGTTTCCTCCTCTCACATAGAAAGATTCCCTCAACAACACAGCTTTTACGTAGTTTGTGTTTAAGTCGAGTACATGATTGCTGTGAAATTTTAAGTATCCCTGTCTTCTTTCTAAAAAGTGATTTTTTTTGAAGCTATGAAATGAACAGTGAAAGTGCTGACAAACACCCCGAGTTGGAGAGCAGTGTGTTGGTGGGGCTGTGGGGAGGCGGGCACACTCATGTACTGCAGGTGGAGACACAGAGCAGCACAGACCCGTGACAGCAATCTGGCTACGTGCACGTGACTGTACCCTGCAACCCTACACGCCCGCTCCTGGGACTATCCCAGCATGCACTAGGACAGAGGGAAATGACATGACACAAGGTGCACACGGCAACAATGACTGACGCAGAAGGCCGCACAGTTCCCTACCAGCAGAGCCTACAGGTATGTCTGCAGGCAGAGAAACTATGGAACCCGGCAGATCTCCGCTTAGTTGGCGAGTGATCTCTGTTACACAGTAAAAAAGCTACATGAAAAAAATACTGTAATTATGTTACTGTCATTAGGAACTAATAGAGAAGGTGCCAAAAAATGTACACACTTTTTAAGAAAGGAAAACTGTATTAAAATTGTAATAATATATATGGAGATAAATACAAGTCATGTTTGACTCCTACAATTACAAGAGGTGCTCTAAGTGGTTACCATCAGCGTGATTTTTTTTTTTAAAGGAGCTGTAAGAAGTCCATTTGGCCCAATATATAATTCACTTGATAACTGGGTTTTTTTTTGGGGGGGGGTTGTTTTGTTTTTTTAGATTTTTATTGGGGAATTGGGAAAAGGGAACAGTGTTGGGGAATTAGGGAAGGGGAACGGCCAAGTTGTTGTCCGTCAGTCTTAGTTGTGGAGGGTGCAGCTAGCTCAGCTCCAAGTCCAGTTGCCATCCAGTCACCCATCAGCAGCTCGCAGCCAGCCGCTCAGCTCAAGGTGCCATGTTCAATCTTAGTTGTGGGTGGGCGTAGCCCACCATCCCATGCGGTAGTCAAACCGGAAACCTTGTTGCTAAGAGTGCATGCTCTAACCACTGAACCATCCGGCCACCTGTTCGCAGCTCAGGGCAGCTCAGCTCAGCTCAAGGTGCCATGTTCAATCTTGGTTGTGGGTAGGCGTAGCCCACCATCCCATACGGGAATCGAACCAGCAACCTTGTTGTTAGGAGCACGTTCTCTCACCAGCTGAGCCATCCTGCCACCTGTTGGCAGCTCAGCTCAGGCGCAGCTCACTGGCCCATGTGGGAATTGAGCCGGCGACCCTGTTGCTCAGAGCTTGCACTCTTAACCAACTGAGCCACTCGGCTGGCCCCCATCAGTGTAATTTTAATACAGTTTTTTCCTTTCTTAAAATGTGTATGCACTTTTTTGGCACCCTCTGTATTCTCAGCATTAGGGCAAAAACACACAAACATGAAATTAACAAGTTAAGTGAGATTTGGAACTATCGATACGAATCCATGATGAATATTTTCTTTTAAGAAAAAATAAGACAAATGTTTTCTCTGTCCACTGAAAGGCCCAGAAAGAACCCCCAAAAGGGCAGCCACAGGCACCTCAGCGCCCACACTGTGGTCTCACAACACTACTTGGCACCTAGAAGCCCAGGGCCCTTTAAAGAAATGGATTCCAGGTTGCAGTCAGCACATGTGCAGGATGGTCCCAGAACATTATCGTAGCCGAAAACAAGGGAGTTATTAGAGACTGCCAGACACTCACGGGCCAAAGACAGGCCAACCTCAACTTCAAAGAGAATAATGACTCCAATGCATTAAAACATACCAATGTGTTACATTTCACGAGTTCAAAATGGTACCAAAACAGAAAAAAACAAAAACCTCATTGGTCATCTTGCAGAATGATAGAGAATTAACACAGTTATTCTGAAAAGAGAAAATAAAGGAAAGTAGTATTCCAGTGTTTCACTTGATTTTCCTGAATAAACAAATGTTGATGAAGCAAAGTTCTTTTTTATAAATGAATCCCAACAATAGGTGCAAAAGGAATGACAGAACTCGTGTATCATTTTACAATCCCGATGAAATGACGTATCTCGACGTTGACCTTGAAGCCATTCAGTAAAAGGTTGGCGAGAACTGAACAATGGATGGATCAGGCTGACGACATTCGCAACCACTGTCCACCTGAACACCATAAAGAGAGAGGCTCAGCCATCAAGTGTCTCCTGATGAACTATAACAGGACGAATGCGTGAAGTCTGCCGACCCGCAACCAAGCCTGGACCTACTCCAGCCTCCTGATTTAATTACTGGCTTACAGGAAGAGCAGCGGAGGATAGGAACACGTTCAATCCAGCCAAGTCCTGGATTGAACCTGGAAACTCTACTGGACAAATGTCTGTGTGCTAGCCTGCCAGAGCCGCCGTCACAAAGTGCCACAGACCGGGGGCTGAAACAACAGACACTGACTTCCTCCCAGTCCTGGAGGCTGAAGTCCAAGACCAAGGTGTGGGAAGGGTTGGCCTCTCTCCTTGGCGTGTATGTAGATGACAGCCCTCTCCCGGTGTCCTCACATGGTCGTCCCTCTGTGCATGTCTGTGTCCTCATTTCTTCTTCTTCTAAGGACACCAGTCACATTGGATCAGGACCCACCCCAGTGACCTCACTGCACCTCAGTCACCTCTTTACAGACCTGATCTCCAAATACAGTCACATTCTGGGGCTGGGGGTTAAGGCTTTAACATGAATTTGGGGGACACAATTCTCTCCATAATACTTGGTTTCACAAACAAATAACAAAAAGAAGCCGGGAAGAGGAACCTATGAAAGTTAAAAAAGACTCAACAAGAAAGATAGCAACCAAATGGAATGGGGAGTTCACTGAAAAGTAAATATACAACTATAAAAACATTCATGAGATAATTAAGATTTAAAGCCTATGGGATGTTAGGTGATATTAAGGAATCATTAAATACTTTTGGATGTAATAATAGTATTGTTTTTATGTTAAAAAACAATATCCTTATAGATGGATGGATGGATAGATAGGTAGATAGATAGATAGAAGAATATGAAGTATGGGGTTTCCTTTAAATCACTGTCAATAAAATGCTACTGGTTGTTACAAAACTTCACTATCCCACTTTTTAGAAATATATCTACTTCATAAAACTGAGGCCTCTTCTATAGAAAATATAAGCATGATACAGCTTTCTTCGTTATCTCAGACACCAGCTGAATTTCAAAAGCCAAGTCCTCCTTAATTTATAAGTTTGTAAAAATGAGTGTTGCCACAGTTCAGATGGTGGACGTGTACCTGCATCTCACAACCTGGAACAGGTGATACTCAGCTTTTCTCACCTAATTCCACCACAATAGTCGAGTTCTGCTTTACAGACAAAAGCAAAGCCTGACGAGCTGTCTAGAAGGGAAGTGAAGAGGGACTGACACAGAGATCATGTCACTGTATGTTCTATGGCTACAGGTGGCAATTTGTTCCTAGGAATCTTAATTGCATGACAGAACCCTAAAATCAGTTGCATTTTTTAAGTCAGAGAAACTCAAGTAGAGCTAGGAGTACATTTTTTTACAATGAAAAGGGTAGGAAGACAGGGAGAAAATATTAAAAGTCTCCTGAAATCAAGAAAAGCAAGGTTTTGTCATTACTTTCTATTCTTAACCGGAAGCTGAGCAGGACCATGGTGTGTCAAGAACAGTAACACAGCAAATACCCAGAATGCTGCTGGGCTCCTGCTTTGGGGCAGGACAGAGAAGGTCGTGGAGACCCATGCTGCTGCTAATCACAACCAGAAGAGCCTAAAGATACATAAAATGACAGAAACAGAACAGAGCCCAGAAACAGATCCGCTCATATAGAGACACCTGATGTATGACAAATGTGGCACTCCAGAGAGATGGGGAATAGATGATCTTTTCAATGAACAGTGCCAGGTCAGCTGATTATCTGTTTGAAAAAAAATGTATCTTAACCTCTACTTTACACCATAGAGAACAATCAATTCCAGATAGATTACAGAAGTAAATGGGAAAAATAAAACAATAATGTTTTGGGAAGAAAATTCAGAACATTTTGTGGTACAGGAGTAGGCAAAGATTTCTTAAGCAAAACGCAAAAAGCACTACACAAAATGGGAAATAGTTCATACACTGGAATGTACCAAAATTAAGAATGTCTGGAACTTCTGCTTCCAACGAAAAAGGAATAACTGATATAAAATTTGGACTCCCACCACAACTAATTTAAATATGGTCAAAATACACGGTTGGACATTGGGTCCACAGCAGCTGAGGCAGTGGCTCCTGAGAGCAGAGAAACACGACAACTGGGCCCTGAGGTCTTCCTGGCCCATCCTGGCCCATCCTGGCACTATACCTGGAGCGACTTTCAGACATGGCACAGGAAGGGGAATGTCAGCACAGCAGGTGGTCTCACTGTGCTAAGAAGACAGAGCCTAGAGCCTGGGAAAGAGGCCAGCTCGAAGTTATGGGGTAAAGCTCTGGAGAGGGGGAGGCCATGCAGAGAAAGATCTACAAATATATACAAGGAGTTTCTTTGCTTCCACTTACAAAATGGCCAAATAAATGACTTTTGAACAAGTAACATACTCAAATGGTACTATAGTGAACAAGGCTATGACGTAACACTGAGAGAAATTAAAGGAGGGCTATATACTATGTTCATAAATTGACTCATTCAATATTGTCAAGATGTCAATTCTCCACAAATTTTCTATAGATTCAACACAGCTCCAATCAAAATCCCAGCTTGTGGGGGGTTTTTTTATAGAAATTGAATAATATACAAAAAATATATGAAAAGGTATCAGCGGAAAGTCTGCTCCCCATGCTCTTTTCCCTATTAGCTTCTTCCTTTGTTTCTTTACAAATAGACAAGCGAATACAAATATACATCATTTCCCCCCTTTTTTACATAAAAGGTAGCATGCTATACACTGTTCTGTACCTTACTTCTTTCCAATTATCAACATATTGTTGGACATTACTCCCCATTTTCAGAGAGTGGGCCATCCCTTTGTTAAACCATTTTAATCCCTTCTCTGGGCAACAGCACAGCCACAAAGAATGAACCACAGGGGTTGAGGTAAAAAAAAGAAGAAAGAAAAAGAGGGAAAAAAGGACAAACCACAGGCTAGGAGCCAGAAGCCATGGACCTGACCTGGGCAAGATGCTTCCAAATCTTGGTATCGCCTCCCATAGAAAGAATCCATGCGCTTCTTCACAGGGCCTGTTTCACGCATAAACTGAACAAAGGCAGGAAGCACGTGGTGGAAGAACAAAAGGAGTCTGCGCTTTGAAGTGCCCACATGGCCTGGCCTTCAGGACTCTGGCCTCAGCCCTGCCCTCGCTCCGTAGGGGTCCTGCTGGCCTTGTCTCATGCTCTCCACTAGACTGCCCAGACAGCCAACACTCACCCAAAGCAAGTCCCCTCCCTACAGAACTCACGTGCTGACCTGTAAACCACCAGCTAGAGGCCTGGCAACAGGTCTGGCGTTCCCTGACGCAGGTTGTCACCCAGCTCCCAAGGGGTCACTCCTGTCCACTAGCACAGGGTCCCCACTGCCAGTGTAAGAACCCACGAGGCCACCTGAGCTCCCGGCCCAAGACACATGCTCTGGAGAGGACAGCACCCAGAGCAGCGTGCCCGTGTTTGCAGGGCAGGGAAACATACGTCCAAGGAAGAAAGCAAGGTGTGGGTCTGCAGCACCTGTTAAAGCACCACTTGCGTTTTTCAAAGGAAAAGTGTTGTGTCCTCTGTCTTCTTTTCAGAGATTGCCACTTAACAAGTATTATCAGACCAGGTGTTGGAAAGATAATTTTTCTTTTTGTAGAGAGACAATGCTAATAAAAATGCTTTACTATTTCACCTGTTCAAGGTCAGAGGGAGGAGGCATTCAGGTGGTGCTTTAAGCAGTCCTTAGGGGACAGATGTCACCAGGTGGAACTGAGAGCCCTGGCGCTGCCCCCGCCCCCCGCCCCCCCTCCAGAGTGCCTGCGGAGTGGAGCTGGCCTCCCGGTGCCGTGCGGTCAGGAGTCTAGCAAAGGGGTGCCTGCGATCTGCCAGCAGTTAAACATCATGGGCTCCCAGAAATTCCCTCCAGGATTAGTGCTTTAAGTCGGGCCCAGGCCTGGCCAACTATTAACCGAAACATGACCACCTCTGCTTCCCATCTAAACACGGGGAATGACGATGTTTTCTGCATTACACTTCTGAAGGAACACCTACCAGTCTCCGTTTGCTGCTGTTTCTATTCTGCATTAACTGGCTAAATCCACAGTAACTTACTGTATCCAGGTCCCTCTTTAAATGTGAAAGCTCACTCACTTACCATGATCATCGAGGAGAATATTCTCAGGCTTTAAGTCTCTATAAAGAAGAAACAACAAAACACTCAATTATTCAGAAGTCGACTCTGCGATCCCTGACACTCAGCAGAAATAAGCACAGATGTCTCTGCGCTGGGAGCAGTGGCCAGGCGGCTCTGTGGATCAAGTTAGGAGCCTTTCATGTTGTCACAAGGTTTGTGGTCACCTGGAGGGACAGGAGTCGACCTGAGGAGTGCACCTGAACACAGCACACTACACAGACTTAACTAAAGACATTTCAGTGACGAAATGTGTAGCCCAGTGATCAGGAAAGAGTCCTCAAATCCTCTTCTCATTAGCATCCTTTTTAAATCGGCAACAACTGCGAAGTCCCTGTACTAGAAGTACTCAGTTTTGAGGGTCAGACAGACAAGGATTCAAATGCTGGCTCCACCCTTCATCAGCTGTGTGACCTTAACCTCTCTGAGCCTTAGTGCCTCCCCGGTAGAGCAGCGTGACCGACACCCACGGCACTCCCTGGGCCACGCAGTGACTGTATCACAGTCCATTGTGAAGGCACAGGGATGCCACAAACTGCCAATATATGTAACTCACCAGGGACTAAATGATCTGAAGCGTGATATCTCAAGTTACTTTGTTTTTTTCCCTTAAAAATTATTTCTCCAAGGGTTTATATTTCACTCTGATTTCAAGTATGGTCCCGTCTCCCTGAGCATCGCCCCCAACCTGTGGTCACATCACCAGAACCCACAGAGGGAGGGAGCTGAAGCCAGCCGAGCGCCGACACCCTGCAATGGGGGGGCTGGAGGAGGGGGCAGAAGTGTGCAGGAAGGTGATGTCAGGAAAGCCCCAGAGCTGACAGGCCACAGCACACCCACAGGCTGCCGTCAGGGCAGAGCCTCCTTGGTCAGAAAGCACACCCCCAGGGAGAGGTCGCCCTGCCAAAAAGCAGCTCATGAAGATGTGACTACATGAGTGGAGATGCCCACGTGCTGTCACTGGTCTCCATGGGGAGAGGGACGGTGGCAGGAGGATGGGAATGGCAGCTTCTGGGTTGCATTTTTCTGGCCACGTGCACATGCTCCTACACCATCTGGGTGATGAGCTTTTTTGTTTCTCATTTTTCTTTCTGTATTAAAAAAAAAACAAACCCAAGCCCCCACTGTCTAAGTGCAGGCCAGGACCACTGCAGAACGGAGTAGAATGCAAGTTGTGGGTGCATGGGACCCCTGATGACATGAGCCTGCACTGTACCCGGTCCTCCAATCACCAGGGCTTGTAAGGGCACGAGAAGCCCTGCGCGGGGCTGTCCCTCCAGTGCTACCTCCAGCCGGCACAGTGCACTGCCATCAGCTGGCTCTGAAGGGAGACGCGCTGTATGCAGCTCACAACACAACAGGAGCAGTGATAACATCCATCAGCTAACTTACCGAATGCTCATGAGGCCAGGACTTGTGCTGTAACTGTCACAGAATCTCCGCGGAGCAGCAAAGGGGCCATGCGGAGGCGAGGCTGAGTGACAAGCGGGACACATCCCAAAGCCGTGCTTGCTCTTGCCCCCACCGCACCCCACCCCGTGCGCCAGGTATGTATTGGCACCCGAGGGCCACAGCTTCGGGCTACCAACTGGTGACATTTCTTGAACCTCCCCTCAGAAACGACTTCTCCATGTTTTCATCAGAGGAATGGTTCTCGGGCACCATGTCCCAGGCTGGGCACAGGGTGTCTGCTGTGTGGAGGGCACTGGACGTTGCCTCATCTCTGTCAGGTCACTCAGCCTGGGGCCTGGTTTACTGGATGACCTTTCAGCTGCTTCTGTGCTGTAAAGTGGTGATCGAATCTTAAGCCAGGGAGACAAACACGAGGGTCTGACAGAAGCTGAGGACAAAAGGGAGTCCGGGTGTCTTCTGACCTTTGACAACCCCGCTCCCGCGCTGTCCTGCTGACCTGGTGAACTTGGATGTAATGAGTGGTGCCCTCGCTGTTTAAGTCATCTCCTACCCCACGTCCTGGTCTGCCGGAAGCTCATTCTGCTGGCTTCGTGCCCCTCCCTCTGATAAAAACCCGCTCTCCCACCCGGATGGCATTTCCCAGCCTGCTCCCAGGTTGGGAACTATCACGAGACAGCAAACTCAAGATGATTCCTGGGGACTGAGACTCGAGGTGCTGGCTGCCTGGCCCGTGGCTCACCGCCTACCTGCTCCTCCCGCGTCCCCGTCCACACCTGCGTCCAGTGCCCTGCTCTTCTCTGCTGCCCACCACCACCTCACTCCCCACGGGGTCCTGCCAGTCAGCAGCCTGTGCTGGGGCTGAGCTCACACACAGCAGCAGGAGGGGTGCGCGGCCAGCTGGGCACACTGTGGAGTGAGGTGGAGAGAAACGCAGGGGCCGGCATGGCCACAGCTACCGTTTCAGAACTCTGGTTCAACTGGAGCTGGTATGGCCAAAATACAGAGAATATGGTCTGGAAAAGCAGCCCCGCTACAATCAAAAGCCACCGGGAGCATGTTCTTGGTGGGGGTGGAATGAGAAAACTGCTCCTCTGAGTTCTGCCCAAACCTTGACACGTGAACCTGCTGTTCAGAGTCTGAACAGGAGACAAGGACCTATGCACAGGATTCCCGCCCTGTCCCCACTTCACTCTGCCCAGAGCACCTTCCACAGTGACCACTTAGAGCTGAGCCAGAGAAAAGCCAGTGACCTCCGCCCCCACCATGTGTAAGCCACAGGTGCTCTAGCTTGCTCAGTCTCCACTCACCTGGAACAGATGGCTGTCCTTCCCCTGGCTCGACCGCCCCTCCCACCCCCCCACCTTCTGGGATCTGTACATAATCAATCTTTACTTCCTTTGTGTGGTGTACTGAAACTGTGCCTTCCATCAAAATGGCCCAGTGTTCACTTCCCCAAAGTGGGAGATCAGACGCTGAGCGCGCCTGCCCACCTCTGTGGGCCTCACTCGCAGGTCATAATCTGCATAGTCTTAATTTAATACACCAGCCACAGCCCCAACACAGGGGGAGGGGCAGGCCAAGGCAACAAAGGCAAAAGTCACTTTGGCTCATGCCCAAGTGTCCCCTTAAACATTCTTCAAGAAAATATAGCTTACTAGCCTCCGGGCAAACTCTAAGGTCTGGTCAATCAGGGGCCCATCTACAAAGGCTGACTTGCCCAAGACAGCGGCCAGGAAATGGGTTTGTTAGGTAGTCCCGTTTTTAGAGAACCATAAACTTCTAAATCTAGAAGAATGTGGGTCATATACAGATTATTAGCTCTTATAAACACTGAAATCAGTCATTCCTACTTTAAACTTCCACGTTTCAAAAGGGTGGAAAACAAGAGATTATCCTTTGAAGCACTTACCGTAAATGGTAATGACACCTCCACTTCCGTGTTCACCTACACATGGCTCTTCTACCCTCTACGCTGCAAGCTTCCTGGGGACAGTGACCTCAAAACTGGATTTGTTCCCTAAAGTGTTCCGGCATGCAGCATGTATGCATCTGGATGAATGCATAAGCCTTTCAGCTACTGATCAATCTAATGTGAGAACGATAATCTGTACTGTCCAATGGCCTGTCTGATGCAATGCACTACAGAAACAAGTAGAGGTCCAAGTGTCCCCTCGCTACATTCTCCTGCACACCAACTCCCTCTCCTTACAGTGGGGAGCTGCCATTTGCTTCTTGATCCACAATTCATTCACTAGAAGGAGAGACCCAAGGCACAGCCAAACATCCCTTTCCCTTAGGGAACTTTCTAATGATCTCTTCTCTTAATTATTCCCAACTAGGGCATTCCAGACGGGTGGAAATGTCATGACTCACAACTTGTTTAATTAAAAAAGTCAAAGGCAGGGGCCAGCCGAGTGGCGCGATGGTTAAGAACTCACTTGGGATGCCAGAGGGCCCCGGTTCGGATCCCACACATGAGGGCCAGTGACACTGCCCTCCACAGCTAAGATGCTGAACAACAGCTCGACCTGGAGCTGGGCTGCCATGAGTCACCGGCGACGGCGTAGGCTGCAGCCCCTGTGGCAGTGGGTTGCCATGGGCTACCGTGTGTAGCCAGCAGCCAGCGTGAGCGGCCCTCAAGCCGCTGTGAGCGGCCATCCAGAAGCCGGCGACTGATCTGCCTCACCAGGGAAGAGTGCAATGACGGTGCCAACTTGGGCCAGTGAAGCAACATCCTCCACAACTAGATTGAAGAACAAAAATGACAGCAACTTGTCTGTTCCCCTTCTCCCAATTCCCCAGCACTGTTCCCCTCCCCCCAATTCTCCAATAAAAATCTTAAAAAAAAAAAAAAAAGTCAAAGGCAGCCAGGTGGTTCAGTTGGTTAGAGCGCCAGCTCTGAACAACAAGGTTGCCGGTTTAATTCCTGCATGGGATGGTGGGCTGGGCCCCCTACAACTAGATTGAAAACGGCGACTGGATTTGAGCTAAGCTGCGCCTTCCACAACTAGATTTACGACAACTACTTGACTTGGGAACTGATGCGACCCAGAAAAACACACTGTTCCCCAATAAAAAATTTTTTTTAAAAAGTCAAATTTCTTGGTAAATGTAACTAACAATCCAACAAAATTGCCAAGGAAAGGGGCAGGTTCCTCCCCCCGCACTCCCCCCCATGGGAAAAGAGCGAGGGATGGAGGACAGATTGCAAGGCCTTGCTGGCCCATCACTCACCAGGGAGGTAACAGGGCAGTATCTCATATGTAAATGGATGTGACACCTCACATGACAGTGGGGAAGATGAAATGACAACGTATGCCAAAGCACTCTGAAATGTCATGCATTCTATAAATAAATGTTAGCATCTATTTTCAGCATTTTTTGTGATTCACGTCACAGTGGGTAGTTTTCTTTCAATGCAGTGATACACAGGAATGAAGTCAGGGGCATGCACAATGCAGCAGGTGCTCCTCGGTGCCGAGGTTGCCATGTCTAGCCACACATGGTGGCGTCGTGACCTCAGCAGTCTCCAGGGACATGCTGTTTGCAAAAGACTTATGCCACAAGGCGTTACACAAAACACGCCTGCCCCTCTTGAAGCAGCAGGCTGCGTCCTCCTCCTCCAGGAGAGCAGGAGGCGGGAGCTCAGGCTCCCATAATGTTACATCTTAAACGACCCACTAAACATAAACACACTGCCGACCAAAGAACAGATAAAGAGCCAGGCGACCCCCTCACCCCTTTGTTTAGAGATCTTGGTTGACTTTTGGGGTCACTTGCTTTTTCTCTTCCCATGCTTTAAATTCCCACTCTTATATTTAAAATTCACCAATGAAGAGTGAGCCAAAAAGTGGAAACAATCGAAAACGCCCATCAACTGGCAAATGGATAAATAAAACGTGGTCCATCCAGATAATGGCCTACCACTCAGCCATAAGAAGAGGAAGGCGCTGGTAAATGCTAAAATGTGGATGAACCTCAAAAACATGATGCTAGTGGACAGAAGCCAGATGCAAAAGGCCACATGTTGCATGATCCCATTTATATGTAACGTGTGGAAAAAGGACATCTATAGAGACAGAAAAATGATGTCCCACTTGCCTAGTGTGAGCTCTTCTTTAGAGGGGAGTGTAGAAGATGACACACATGGTTACTGACACAGTGTGGAAGCTGACCTTTTGGAACATGATAGACGGGTCACTGGGTCAAGGCCACTATGGGCATCGTCAGCCTCTCCCCCATTTATTATCTGTTTTATCTTTTTTTATTGTTTCTTAAATTGCTAGAAAATGCAGTGAAATTAAACTCTTTTTCTTAAAATTGTGAAAGATTTCCTCTAGCTAGTTAAGGAACATACCCATTACCTATTCATTTATTTTATTTTATTTTTTTGGTGAGAACGCTTAAGTTTATTCTCTTAGCAAATTTCAATTATAAAACTATAGTCAATTTCAATTATATCAGCTACAGTCAGCATGTTATGCATGAGGTCCTCAGCGCTTACTCATCTACAGCTGAAGGTTTGTACCCTTTGACCAGCCTCTCTCCATTTCCCCCACCCCCGAGCCCCTGGCACTCACTTCTCTACACTGTTTCTATAAGTTTGACTGTTGTTTTAGATCCCACATAATAGTGATGTCACGTAGAATTTGTCTTTCTGTGTCTGATGACCTCAAGGTTCACCCACGTTGTTGCAAATGGCAGGACTGCCTTTGTTCTCATGGCTGAGTAATACTCGAGTATGTGCATATGTACACGCCACCTCTTCTTTATCCATTCATCCGCTGACAGACACTCAGGTTGTTTCATGTCTTGGCTCTTGTGAATAATGCTGCAGTGAATGTGGGGGTACAGATAATTTCTTCAACACTCTGCATATTTCCCTTAGACACATACCCAAAAGTGGACTGCTGGGTCGTATGGTAGCTCTATTTTTAATTTTTTGAGAAAACTCCATACTGTTTTCCATAGTGGTGAAACTGAAAACCTTTTTAAAAGCCAACTCTTTAAAATTTTCATCGTTTTTAGCCATATCCATGTGCATACATATTGTACGTTGTTATGAAAAATAACTCTGGTAATTTATAAGAAATTACACTATCAAAACAATAGAAAGCAAAATACAGCATCCCCAGAGAGGCGGATGAACATGGAAGAACCTTGTTTTCCTGGCCAGCCAGGACCTCCCTGAGGCTGCAGGCTAGTCTGGGGAAAGCTTTTACTTGAAAAGAAAATACTGCCCAGAGACGCACATGCCACTTAATAAGGAACTGGCTATTCCCATGTCAGTATTCCAGACAGTGGCATTAGAGCACTCATTGAGTCTGCTCCCAGCTAAGAGCGTTTTAGTTCATCTGATTTTACAAAGACTACATTCCTAAGTTAATTTTTAAGACAGTCAAAACCCCAAAGGCAACAGTTTCCTTTTAGACTTTTGCATAAAAACAGGCAATTGAAATGTCATGTAAGAGTTTGAGAGTGAAAGCACTTGGCTGGCCTTAAAATGTGTGTGTGTGCATGCACACACACGCACACACGCGCGCGCGCGCACACGTGCACACGCACACACATGTGCACACTCACACGATCATGTGTGCGCACATGTACGCATGTACACACGTGCACGTGTATGCACACAGGCACACATGTACACAGACATGCACATGCACGCACGTACATACACACACACATTTTAGTACTGTTGTTTTGTTTTCATTGAAAAAGGTTGGACTTACTGAATAAGTAATGGTTTTGCACTGAAAAGTATACTTTTCTTCTCTCAAGATTCTCTCCCCACACGCACACTTTACTTCATTCACTTGCTTTTTTTCACTTAGTATTTCAGACAAAGCTGGTTACAGGTAGATCTAGGTACCTAAGGGAGTGACGACCTACCAGAACCCTAAAACCACACGACCGTGGCACTAACAACGTGTGAGACTCCACTGGGTGAGACCCCGCTCCCTGGGCCTCCCGCTGTCTGCTGCCTTAAGTGCTGTCTGGGCAGCTGCCTGGCTCCACAAGTGCTCCTGAGCCTCGTTCTGTGGTCTGTCATCATGTTGTTTCAGGCATTTACCTGAACCATCAGCAGGGGACTACAGCGGGCCCTCTAGGATGCGATGGCTCTCTGCTGACTTCTTAAAACCTGTTCTCCAAATAACATGAAACAGGCATGGGGCCGGCTGGCAACAGAAAGTCAGCTCGGGCTCGTTCTTCCTTCTGCTCCTCTGCTCACCTTCTCCAGGACACAACACAGCACACAGCTCCCCTGGAAGAACCACCTCTCCCCCTGCTTGGATCTTAGCCACCTTCCCAAGTGCAACCGAGGTTCCAGCAACTCCAGGAAGCCTTCCTTGACCAGGCCTGGGCCCAACTTAAAGCACTAATCCTGGAGGGAATTTCTGGGAGCCCATGATGTTTAACTGCTTGCAGACCGCAGGCACCCCTTTGCTAGACTCCTGACCGCACGGCACCGGGAGGCCAGCTCCACTCCGCAGGCACTCTGGAGGGGGGCGGGGGGCGGGGGCAGCGCCAGGGCTCTCAGTTCCACCTGGTGACATCTGTCCCCTAAGGACTGCTTAAAGCACCACCTGAATGCCTCCTCCCTCTGACCTTGAACAGGTGAAATAGTAAAGCATTTTTATTAGCATTGTCTCTCTACAAAAAGAAAAATTATCTTTCCAACACCTGGTCTGATAATACTTGTTAAGTGGCAATCTCTGAAAAGAAGACAGAGGACACAACACTTTTCCTTTGAAAAACGCAAGTGGTGCTTTAACAAGTGCTTAGATTAAAGGAGGATGCACCTTTAGTGGCTGAAAGCCATCGGTCACTCATTCAGCAAACACCTAGTGGGCGCCTCCTGGTGGCAGGTGTTGTGGACAGCGGGGTGAATGAGACAGACGTGGTCCAGTCCTCACTGTGTGCAGGCCAACCCAAACCTTCACCTGCTCAGCCTGAGGCCAAAGTGGGAGCCCGAGGTGAAAGGATGGGCAAATGAGAATCTTCCGACCAACCCAGTAAGACACCAGGACACCAGGAGCAAGCAGACGGGGCTTCACTGTGCTTAACTGTGTGAAGCTGTAATTTCCTCCAGGAGGAAAACCAGAATCAAAGCTCTCCCAGGCTTGTCCCACACTTCAGCATCATCAGTCACCCTGTAAGTATGGTGACAAGGCACTCTCCATTCAGACAACCACCTCTGTCTCTAGAGGAATCGTTCCCAGGGCAGCAATCCACCCCTTGCTCAACTCAAGGTGGGGCCATGTCAGCGCCACAGCCAAGCCTGAACCCGGTCCTCAAGAGATTTGGAACACAGCTGCGGGCCAGTGAGACAAAGAAAAGTCCGAGTCCATCAGGATAGGAATGGATGAGATAACGGCCTCCTGAGAAGCTTCCAGGCCAGCATGACCAGCCCTAGAGTGGGACAACACGAGTTCTGTGCGAGTGCCGAAGGGGCAGCACGCCTCCGTGCAGTCGGGCGGGGACATCGCCATGCCCACTCTGGGACAAGAAGCGGAGTTTCAGAGGGAAGGAAGAGGGGCAGCAAGGAAAGGCATCAATTGAGGAACCACACGTGCAAAGGGGAAAAGGTATGAGGACACCAGAGATGCTGGGAGCTGCAAATACGTGCACATGACAAGAAGAGAGGGCGCCCACCTAGAAAGCAGCAAGACACGGGGGCAGAGAGGTCAGTGGGGGATGGCGTTATGCAGGGTTCCACACTGGGGATGACGGGACAGCATCAGATCTGCACTAAGAAAGCCACTACTGTCACTCTCACGGAGGAGGGAGTGGCCAAGCTGGCGTTAGGGAGACCATTTCAAGTTTCTGTCTACAAAGTGGCCTATAGAAGACCTGAACTAAGCTGGTGATCCTAGAGAATAGTGAGTGGGGAAATATCCAGGAGCGATTTGGTGGCCGACTGGATGGGGAGGATGAGGACAAGGGAAACACAGAACCCCGGGGTTTTAGGACAAAGGGAACAGCTGGCGATGCCTGGGGAGAGCGGTCTGTGGGCCGGAGAAGAATGGCAGGGCCCAGGGCCCAGCACCTAGAGGACGGTGGGGGCCACTTCCCTTCCAACTAAATACACCAATCACAAAAAACTAGTTCTAACTATTAAATTAACTTTCTTCGCTGAATTTAAGATGCAAAAATATTAAAACTTTAAGACATTTAATTGTTATGCTGTCCTTAGTGTCAAACGTCTAAGAATCTCAGAAATGGGTCCTCATGCTTCTGTGAGTAGCACTGCCTGTAACATTTGCTCAACTGAACAAACAAAGCTACTCATTAGAGATTAAAGAGGACTGAAAGGAGCCCCAGGACCCGCCTCTTACGGCCATGCCTCCTGCAGCGTGAGCAAGCTGCCCCTGGCCCAGGCTGGCTCCCACAGGCCCAGGAGACATGGGCTCTTACCTGTACACGATCCGCTCCCTCTGCAGGTCCTCCAGGCCGCAGCACAGCTCGGCAGCGTAGAACACAGCTCTCTGCTCGTCCAGGCCGGGGCTTCCCAGGCTGTGGATGTGGAACTTCAAGTCCCCCCCGTTCATGATAGTCAGCACCAAGCACAGCGCGTCCCTGGTTTCGTAGGTGTAGCATAAACTCACCTAGAGGACGGCACAAGACAGACAGGCCCGCTCGCTCACTGAGGACCCGCGTCCCTGCTCACGGGCAGGTGTGTGATGGACGCCCTGCGCCCAAGGACTGGCACCCCACGCCATGGGCTCTGGGACCTGGGCCTGTGGAGGCTCTCATGGCAGTTCCCTTGAGGGACAGACTGGCGGTGTCTATCTAAGTGGGTCGGTGACAACACTTCCCAGACCTTGGGACCGTGACTCCTCAGAGCCACGCTCTTGTCACCGTCATCAAGCACAGCTACTCTGTGCTCCCAGAATGCTCCCGCCAGCAGGGCCCTCTCCAGGTCTCATGTTGTCAGTCAATGCCATCAGGCATAGCACCTGTCTTCTCCTGGGTCCGCAGGTGCACTCCTCCAACATGCAAACACAGGAGACCCTTCTCCTATGTTTTCATACACTTGTTATCCATCTGGAACCTCTTATACCAAGTGCCTAGTCAACGTTTATGTCTACTTCCCTATTGGTTTGTACGTCAGTTCTCACACACGCACACACGGCTAGAATTCTGATTGGGACTGCACTTAATTCGTTTAGTCTACACATCACTTTGGGGCAGAGCTGACATGGCCACAGCTTATCTTCTAACCCGTAACATGGTTCCCTCTATTTACTTAGGTTTCTGTCACTTCTTGTAATGGTGTTTAGAGTTCTCAGTGGGGAAGTCTTGCATACTTTCATTCGGTTTTTGCCTAGATTATGTTTCTAGATGTTATTGTAATTGGTATCAATTAAAAAATTTCATTTTCTACTTGTCTGTGACGGCATTGTGTTTAATAACTTGGACCGTCAACACACAGTCATGCTGTGGGTCAGGTTGCAGTGGGATGAGGAGTTGATGAACATGATGACCCAGGTACAGGTCAGGACCCACTGGCCAAATAGTAAGCAGGGGAAAAACAGCATCAAGGTGAAGGAAAGTATTTCTAGGTTCCTTGGGAGCAGTCAAGAATATAGAAACCAAAACATTTTATTTAAATAAACTGTTACTATTTATGTCCCTTTCATAAAGCTAGATTGTGGATTTCTGTATTTCAAGGTAGTTACACAAATATATGTAAAGCAACTCCAAGACAAGCCCATTTTATTAAAGATTTCCATGTAGCACATGTCAAACTGACATACTACACACCTAAACTCTCGCTGTTAAATTTAGATGCAGGCGGTACACTGTTTTGGAACATCTGACCCCGAGTACAAAGCAGCTGGCCTCAGAAATGAGAAATAAATAACCTGGCAGAAGTCATTGAATACAACAAATCATTCTACAAATTATCTTTCACTCTCTACCTTCACCTAGACCTTCATCATGCAGTAGGTGCTACAGGAAATGTGTAATTAGCTGGCGAGAAGCTAGGTTTGGAGATGAAAAGCACACATTAATGCCTGGTCTAGGGCCTGGAATGGGTCTTGAAAACTCAGCCCAAACCCCAGATGGTCAATCTTGACCTGCAACAGTGAAGGTGGGGTCTGAGGCTTCATTGGATCGGGCTATGCTACCTGAGGGCCACATCAGAAAGAGGACGAAGACGGAAACTGACTGAGGGCTAGAGAAGCGTCTTCCAGCTTACGGGTCAGTGCCCCACCAGCCAGAGCACTCCGCTGGAGGCTGACACTGCGCTGCAGGAGGCTCTGGCTGCCACCAGCCCAGGGAGAGGGCACCTGGCCAGCAACGCCACGCATGTAGGTGTGGGGGAGTGCAGAGGGTTTGGCACAAATCACAAGTTCAAGCGGGATTGTCACTGTTTTGTTTGTGTCCAGTAAGAATGAAGGAAAAAGAGGGCAGTTACTGAAACAAAGAGGCTCCCGGCACCTATCCCTGAGCCGCATCACGCGGCTCCACAGCTGGACCGAAGGGGCAAGGGCAGCAGGCCGGCTGAGGAAAGTGCTACTTATGTGGCCACCACAGGGAGGACAAAAAGGACATACTTACTACAAATCTACTGTGCACTTTTTCTAGGAGTCGTTTCTCATTTAGAGCCATAGCTTCACCTTTCCTCCTCTTTATTCTCTTTTTTTCTAGCTTTTTGCAGGCATACATTTTCCCTGTAGCTCTCACTTGACAGGCATAAACCTAGTTTTAAAAAAGAAAACAAAAAGGTTTATATATCCCTGACATTTCTTAGGCTACAAAAAGAAAATGGTTTCTTTCATGACAACCCCCCGGGCAAGAGCAGCAGCAGACCCTGCCGCGCCGAGGCCGCGCCAGCCGCCTCTTCCTTCCCTTCCAGCTTCCTCATCTACGCAAGGGCGCTGGGACAACCCAGTGACGACACTGTGCTTTCTAAACTCTGAGACAGTGGGCAAATGGAACTTGTTCATACCGACCATGGTGCCTCTGTTTAATCTAAATATGTCTCCCTATGTCTTTTTCCTTTTTGTATAAGAGCAAACTTTTGGAAACCAGATTTATGATTTTTTTTTTAAAGTTCAAGAATATAAGGAAATATATTTCATAGAATTCGTAGACTTGCATACATTTATTCCATTTAGTGTTAAAGTAATATTTATATATTACTTACATTTATATGATGAAAAAATTCAAACATAGAAAAATGGAGAGAACAGTGCAATGAGGCCCCAGGCACCGGTCCCCCCAGCTTCCGGACTACAGACATATGGCTGTCTTGTTTCCTCTGACTCCCACCCACTACACACACACGCTTACACACACCCCAGCCACATCTACTCTGCACCACACACACACACACACACACACACACACACACACACACACACACCACCCCCACATCCCATGCACATCTGCTCCAGCCTCACACACATACACACACGTACACACCACACATAGCTACTCCACATGCCACACATACACACACACCACACAGAGGATTACTTTAAAAGCAAATACAAGATATGACAGAATTTTACCCATCAATAAGATAATCCCAATGGTAAAATATAAAGCTCACTGTGGAAAATATTTTAAGTATTAACAAGGACAATGATAAAACTCACTCGAGATTCTAAGTAACGATCATTGATATTTTGCTGTAGAGCTTCTAATTACCCTTTGCACCTGTTCATACAAGAATATAGCCTTGTCCCCCCAACCCTCTCTAGCTTTTAGGGGAAAACTGGGCTTATGTTATAGAACAGGTAGTATTTTATAACCTCCTTATTTCATCTTATAGTATGACTATTTTCTCATCATTAAATGTTTTCCCAACATATGACTATTCCAAAATTTGATCATTTTCCTACCATCAGTCTTGGCACATAAATTTTTGCCTAGCTCTTTATCATTAAGAGAAAATCTTTTAAGTGGAACTGCCAAGTCAAAGGAAGAGAAGGGACAAGGGGCTGGGTGCCAGGCACTGCACTATCAGCGGGACACCAGCAGCCCAGGAGGCGGAGGTCACACACCTGCAAGTGACAGAACAGGAATCTGACCTCAGATCTGCCCAACTCTTAGGGGTGCGCTCTCTCCACTACGCTATGTTGCCTCTAACACAATGCAAGCAGAGGCCTACCCAACCCCCTCTCCACTGCACCCGCCTCAGGACCCTACAAATCTATTTTGGATTTAAAGCACTACTGTTGACAAAATCAGATAAAGCCTAGGCCCTTTCAAAGCCACCAGAGGAGGTGTTAGCATTTGGAAAAGGTACATGCACTGTGGAATGTGGTTTTGCAGGGCCCCGAGGCTGTGCCTGAGGGTCTAGGCTCTCCCTAACAGGCATCCTGAATGAGAATGGACCCTCTGGGCCTTGATACAGTGGACAGTACATGCAGGCCATCTGTGAAAAAACACCGTTTACTCGTCCACACAATCATTTGGAAACACAAGTAAATGTGCTAAAAAGTAACCTGTAAAATCATAAACACACCAAGTGTTTCACAACAGTTAACATTTGCCAAAAGGTTCTTACTAAACTCACTTGGAAAACTTACATGTGACTGTGATAGAACTTCATTCTTATGTAAACACAGGACCCACAGGCTTAAAACCTCTTTTCCTCTGAGTTTTGTACTTGGAAATCATGAAAGGCAGAATAGTAGGAAGAGAAGAGGGCAAATAACTTTCCTGCCCTAGGAGGTGTTCAGACCCAGGACGGATTTTTCATAGAAACGTCTGTTATGAAGGGGTCACAACGAGGACTTGGCTGGATTATGCCAGACGTTCTAAAGGTACCCAGAGCATACCTGAGGTACAACATGCTGACTGTTCTCAAGCAATGGCCATGTGGACTGATTTCTTACTCCACCAAACAGCGAACGTACACCAGTTCTCCTCTGTTACATCTGTAGTGTGCTGCCTCCTGGGTTGGCACTCCAGTTCACGGGAAGGGGCTTCACGTGGCTTTGGCTTTTACTTGGAATTTGGGAGCATGTGTGATGCAGACACATGCAGGCAGGGCAACCTCTTCTGACCACACATCCAGTTTCGGTTCCCATCTGGCTCTGCTGCCCCTGGGGACTTACTAATGCTGGGATGACTACGATCACTCCAGATAATTCCCAATGCAGTTCACACCTCTTTAAATCACCGAAACAGAAGCGGGAGTCTGTCCACCTCCTACAGGGGTCTTTATCTAGGAGAGCAGTCCTATTTAAACACTGCCGCTCATGAATTTGCTGGTAGTTTCCTCAGGATATTCCCAAATTTAATACATTTCCTAACACCTTTTGCTATAGGTGTGAGGTCCATATTTGTCCAAACAGAGCTGAGTTAAATAAGCATATTTAATAAGATACTCTGTACTACACGAACTTTTAGGCTAGTCCTAAATTATGGAAATACAGTAAACAGGAATTCCACAGTATAAAAACAGAATAATCTTTTCAATCAGGACAAACTGAGCTTGAACATCAAATGTGGGAAAACAAGTTCTTTAAGAAATATGAAGTCAAAGGTAAAATCACAAAGATAGTGAATTTTTTTTTTCTAGATCTCCTAATTTTTTGAAAGCTTGTAGCAAAGTGCCTTTTGCTCAAAGTTCAATGTTAATTCTCATGTTTGGCCAAAATTATTCCCCAAACACACAGTAAGGAAATGAATGTACTGGGAGCAATAATGTCTTTCAATTACCTTGCTGCCTACAGCTCTAGAAGCACTGCTCAGAAGTCGTCACATATTACTTACCTCTCCAAATCCGCCTTTTCCTAGAACTCTGTAATGTCTGAATGTTTTCTTTGTTACTGGTTGCCTAATGAAAAAAAAAAAGTTTCAGGCCTCACATCACATTGTTACTTTAAAAGAGAAAAGCCTGCCTAGCTGTTGTCCTAGCCTTTTTCATGGAACCGCATGGATCAAGGGGAGAGCCAGGCCTAGGGTGCCCGCGCTCAGGGACTGTGGCTCCCTCTAGTGGACAGCCCTCAGTTGCACTGAGAGAAATGAGCCCACGGAACTGCTAAGATTGAGCAAAAATACTGAAAATAGGTGCAAAACGGTCCAGTTACCTTTACCTACAAAAGACACATGCACAGCTAACCCACACTGGGAGACACATATGTGCTCTCAGGAGCTCCTCTTAGGCCTGTCAGAAAGCTACTGAGGAAAAGGACGTATCTGCAGAGCTACAGCGCTCTGTGCTTTGAAAGCAAGACCTCAAAGGAGACTACCCAACATGTCAAAAACACACGTATGAACTAGAACTGGAAATCTGATCGATCAACAATAATTGTAATAACAACAACACTGATGGCAGCCGACACAACCTGAGCATTTCATACACATTTCTCAGGCGACCCTACAGTACAGGAGAGTGGACTGTAAGTACCTCTATTCTACGAACAAGGACCTGAAGCTCATAAAGACTGTCACTTGCCTGAGGCCACACAGCTAGCGCCACGTGAGCAGAGGTTGAGACCAAGACACAAACACTGCATTGGAAGATATTTCTGTGAATCTAGGATATGTTTTATTTCCTAACTACTGCACCAACGGGACTGACAGCCATTTTAAAAAAACAGAACAGAGTCAACTGAATGAGAATAAACTGAATAATATATATTAATAATTTCTGTACAAAAACACCAAATACAACACAAGATTGCCAATAGTATTTTGAAAGACGGGAAAGTATACATCGATGAGTATGCATTAGGAGAAGTTACTACTCATTTTCATTGCACTTTAAGTTAGGACATACCTTTCCAGCCATTTCCACTGTAAAAATCGAGCAAAATATGGGCTTTCTTGGTAGTCTTCAAATGGTTCTCCACTTAAGTAGCTATGGACAGCTCTAGAAAAAGATTTATGCAATCATATACCTGTGTTGCATTTCAACATGAAAACAGCTCTGTGTTAGTGCACTTGATATGGGAAAGCTAATCATACATAATCCAGAGTAATGAGCTTTACAATCATAGCATTCCACGTGGTTTCTAATACTATCAGTGAAAATAGGAAGGCAAGAATTCAAAAGAAAGCAATCAATTTACCCTCCCAGAGTCAGAGGTTCTTTTTATGTATATGGATATCAGAGAAATAATTACTTGATAAAAACAATCAATAAGTAAAAAGACAATAGTTTAAAGTATATTCAAAGTGTGTGTGCACCTGCATACATGTGCACAGGGATGTATATTTCAGGAGGGAATGCAAACATTTTGTAAACAAAACTGGAGTGAATGTCTAAATGATAACAGTAATAAGGTAGAAAATGTTAATACATGACACAACCTTTTTTTGACACTGAAAATAAAGCACCTAATAAATTATTTTACGCTACACATTTCTTGGAGCAATTTTATGCAATTAGCCATGTCTCTTAGGCTTTATTTATTCATAATTTTATTATAGAAGTAATAAAATGCTTACTTGGGGCATAGATAGGGACTGTTAATAAATATCTACTGAGTAGATGCAAGCACTGTGCTGGATGCTGGAGGAAAAACGTGTTCTGTGGCGGTGACGGGTTAGTTGGCTCAGTTGGTTAAAGCGTGTTGCTGATAACACACCAGGGTTGCCAGTTCGATCCTCGCATGGGCCACTGTGAGCTGCGCCCTCCCTAAAAGAGTCAACTATGCCATTGTAGCATCAAAACAATGTGTAACCGATGACCACAGCCGTTCCCCAATAAAAAATTTTTTTTTTAATCCTAAGGCTAAAATGGGGGAGCATACAGTAATTGTAAAAAGAGAAAAGATGCTCTTCGGGTGAAAGGAAAGATTATGAAAAAACAAGGTGCAATTATTAGGTAAGTTAAATGACATCAACTGCTAGAAACCTGAACCCTGAACAAGGAGGAACCTACAGCCCAGTGTCGAGAGGCACAGGCCTGTCTGCATGAGAAGACTCCCATTACTCGTGAGTGGGACCGGTCCTGGCAATCCGATTTCTCCCACTGGGTGTGGCTGAATTCAGGGTCTGGAGAGGGGGGACGATCCTGGGTTATCCAGAGGGGCCCTGAATGCCATCACCAGTGTCCTTATGAGAGCGAGGCAGAGGGAGATGTGAACACACACTGCGTAACAAAAGGCTACGGAAAGACAGAAGCAGAGGTGATTGGAAGGTGCTACACTCCTGGCTCTGAAGATGGAGGAAGGGGCCATGAGCCAAGCAACACAGCTCTGGAAGCTGCAAAGGCAGGAAGTGGATTCTCCCCCAGAGCGTCAAGGGGAGCGCAGCCCCGCTGACACCCAGGTTTCTGCCCAGGGACACAGTCTTCAGACTTCTGACCTCCAGAACTGTAGGAAAGGAAATGTGTGATGCTTTAGACCACCGTGTTTGTAACAGTCTTACAGCAGCCGACAGGAAATGAATACAGATTTCTCTGCCACTCCACATGGTTATAAGTTCCCTAGGGGTAAGGGGCCAAGTCACTGTTGCTTATCACTTTATTCCCAGAACCTAGGTCAATGACAGGCACATAGTAGGTGCTTCATGTTTTCCAAAAAGAGTAATACACCAAGGCTCTGGACTATATTTTCTTAAGGCATGTAAAAATGTAAACTCAAGCAACAGGGTTTCATTTTGTTTGGTTCTCTGCTATAAACTCAACTCACAGAAGGAAACTATTATGGGTTGAAATGCATTCCCCAAAGAGATGCAAAGGCCTAGCCGTGCACCTGTAAATGAGACCGTACTGGAACAAGGTCGCTGCAGATGGAACTGGTTAAGATGGGGTCATGTGGAGCAGGGTGGCCCTCACTCCGATATGACCAGTGTCTCTGTAAGAGGAGGAGGAAACAGAGATAGAGACACACAGATGGCCATGTGACAGATGCAGACTGAAACGCTGCAGCTACAAGCCAAGGACCACTGAGGAAAAGCAGCCACCACGAGGACCTGGAAGAGGCAGGAAGGCTCCCCTCCTGGAGGTCTGTGAGAGCAGGACCCGCTGACACCTTGACTTCAGACTTCCAGGTGCCAGGACGGTGAGATCATGTACTCCTGTGGTTTTACGCGGCCTAGTTTGCGGAGCCTTGTTGTGGTAGCCTCAGGATGATACAGCTCCTGACAAAGGGTGGGTCTCAGCTGAATGAGTGAATAAGTGACACCGACGTCTTGCAAAACCATATAAAGGACTGATCACTTCAGAAACCGTTCTTTCTTCCTGTGTACCTAAGGAAGCTGAATTTAGCCAACGTGTTCTGACTGAGAACTTTCTGTGTGGCAAAGGTCAGGAGAAAAGAAGTGTCAGCAAATGCCTGGCTCTAAGAAACTAGGCATAAGCACAGGGGGCCAGGAGCCCGCCAAGCTGTCTACAATGGGAGCCATCCTGGGTGTCACCTGGGGATGTGTAATGACTGCTCCTGATCTGCCTCTCCTTAGAGAAGGCCACTGTTCTGACTTGGAAAGGCCCCTGATAAGAACTCTCTGCTGAGGGCCGGCCAAGTGGCTCGGTTGGTTGAGAGCTGGCTTAAGAGCACGAGCTCTGAGCAACAGGGCCGCCAGTTCGATTCCCACATGGGCCAGTGACACTGCGCCCGAGCTAAGCCGTCGCTGAGCTGCCAACAGGTGGCAGGATGGCGCAGCGGGTGTAACAACAAGATTGCCTGTTCAACAATGGGCTATGTTCACCCACAACTAAGACTGAATTCGGCACCTTGAGCTGAACTGCCATCCGGATGGCTCAGTAGCTACAGCGTGCACTCTTAACAACAAGGCTGCTGGTTCGACTCCCACATGGGATGGTGGCTATGCCCACCTGCAACTAAGATTGAACACAGCACCTTGAGCTTAGAGGCCACGAGCTGCCAACAGGAAGCCAGATGGCAACTGGCGCCATCCACAACAAAGATTGAAGAACAACTTGGCCGGTCCCCTTCCCCAATTCCCCAACACTGTTCCCCTCTCCCAATTCCCCAATAAAATCTTTAAAAAAAAAAAAAGAACTCTCTGCTGAGAAGCCCCTGCAGGCCCCACCCAGGCCACACACCAGAAAGGGGATCATTTAACATACATAGTAAAAGCAATAACAATAACAACAACAAAATATTGCTTATAATTAGTAGCAATCAAAAAAGAAACACTAAAAAGTGGAGTTTTTTGGGGGTTTTTAAAAAGATTTTTTATTGGGGAGTTGAGGGAGGGGAACAATGTTGGGGAATCGGGGAAGGGGAACAGACAAGTTGCTGTCCTTTTGTTCTCCAGTCTAGTTGTGGAGGACATCGCTTCACTGGCCCATGTTGGTATTGTGATCATTATGCTCTTCCTGGCTGAGGCAGATCGGTCACCGGCCATTGGACGGCCACTCACGGCAGCTCACACAGGCTGCTAGCCACTAACAGTAGTTTATGGCAGCCCACTGCAGCCCCATTGCAGCCTACACCGTCGCCGGCGACTCACGGCAGCCTAGCTCCAGGTTGAGCTGTTGTTCACCATCTTAGCTGTAGAGGGCGCAGTGTCACCGGCCCTCATGTGGAATCCGAACCGGGGCCCTGCTGCTCAGAGCTGGTGTCCCAAGCCAACTCTTAACCAATGCACCACTCGGCCGGCCCAAAACACTAACTAGTTTTAATTTACTTTCTCAGTAAAATTCAAAATCACCTCTATTTGTTGTGGAAAAGACATAGGAATAAACCCACAGGTATCATGTTATAGTTTCAATAATTAACATTATTTAAACAATTATCATCAAACAATTATCCAGTTGTTTTTCTTTCTAATCTAAAATTCCTTCGAATGCATCTATAATTAAACCTTAATCATAACAGTAAAATTATTTCAGATCAAATACATGGCCGGTGCTTATGCCTTTTTCCAGTTATATCACAAATGTCTGGGCCGTACGCCCGCAGGGCTGGGCCCACCACTCACCTCGTGCAAACTGCAAAGGCTTCTTTGGGAGGGTCCTCCTCCTCCAGCCTCAGTCGACATTCTCTCAGCACACGTGGAGGCACTTCTGGTAAAGGAACCGCCGAAGTCTGAATGCAGCACAAACCAAATACGTAACAGTTAGTGATTTCGTAGTTTACCAACTGTGAACGCCACCTAATGCTTATTGGAAAAAAACGAAACATAAAGTGCATGAAATAGCAAGTCAAAGTCCCACCTAACTCTGCCCCGTGTCATTTTCCGGGGTTCAGAGTGTTGTCTACCTCTCCCTGTGTACATCTTGGGAAACAGGGTCTCCAAGAGATACCGTAGCCCCAAGTTCACAGCAGCACAATTCACAACAGCCAAAGGAGCAGCCCAAGTGCCCATCATCAGATGAATGGAGAAACGAAATGTGGTCCATCCATTCAACGGAATATATTATTCAGCCTGAAGGAAGGAAATCCTGACAACTGCTACCACAAGGATGGACCTGGAGGATAATATGCCACATGAATTAAGCCAGACATGAGAGGACAAATTCTGCATGATTCCACTTATATAATGTCCCAGGGCACATAGATGCAGAGACAGAGAGAAGGGTGGGTGCCAGGGACTGGGGTGGGGGATGGCGAGCTGTTGTTTCATGGGGACAGTGTTTCCGCTTTGCAACATGAAAAAGTTCTGGAGATGACAGCAGGGACAGATATATAATAATGTGAGGGCCGGCCGAGTGGCTCAGTTGGTTAAGAGCTCGCTCAAGAGTTTGAGCTCTGAGCAACAGCAGTTCGAGTCCCGGCCCGAGCTGAACAGCCGCTGAGCTGCCAACAGGTGACAGGATGGCTCAGCTAAAAAAAAATTATAATAATAATAATGTGAATGTGAATGGATTTAGTGCTGCTAAGCTGGACACCTACAAATGGTTAAGATGACAAATGTTATGTTATATATTTTTTTACAGTTAAAAATGCCAACACGGGGCCGGCCAAGTGGCACGTTGGTTAAGAGCTGTCTTGGGACGCCGGCTGAGTAGCAGGGCCCCGGTTTAGATCCCACATGAGGGCCAGTGACACTGTCCTCTACAGCTAAAATGGTGAACAACAGCTCGACCTAGAGTTGGGCTGCTGTGAGTCGCCGGCAATGGCGTAGGCTGCAGTGAGGCTGCAGTGGGCTGCCATAAGCTACCGTGTGTGGCCAGCAGCCAGCGTGAGCGGCCGACAGCCAATGTGAGCTGCCAAGAGCCGTCGTGAGTAGCCGTCCGGAGGCCGGCAACTGATCTGCCTCGCCCGGGAAGAGCACAATGATGATACCAACATGGCAGTGAAACAACGTCCTCCACAACTAGACTGAAGAACAAAAGGATAACAACTTGTCTGTTCCCCTTCCCCCAATTCCCCAATAAAAATAAATAAATAAAAATTTTAAAAAATAAAATAAAAATCGGACTGTCTTTTTACCACTGAATGGTAAGAATTCTTCGTATATCCTGGATTCTAGACCCAAGCCAGATGTTGGGCTCACAGATGTTTTCTCCCACACTGTAAGCTGTCTTTTCATTTTCTTTATAGTGTGCTTTAAAGCACAAAGTTTTTAATTTTGATGAAAGCCAATTATCTATTTTTTCTTTTGTTGCTGAACCTTTGATGTCATATCTAAGGAACCACTGTCTAAACCAAGGTCACAAAGATTTACACTTAAGAGTTCTACACCTAAGGGGCCAGCTGAGTGGCGCGTTGGTTAAGAGCTGGCTTGGGACGCCAGCTCTGAGCAGCAGAGCCCCGGTTCAGATCCCACATGGGCCAGTGACACTGCCCTCTACAGCTAAAATGGTGAACAACAGCTCGACCTGGAGCTGAGCTGCTTTGAGTCGCCAGCGAAGCGGTAGGCTGCAGCCCCTGCTGCAGTGGGCTGCCATAAGCTACCGTAAGTGGCCAGCAGCCAGTATGAGCTGCCAAGAGCCAGTGTGAGCGGCCTTCCAGAGGCCGGCGACCGATCTGCCTCATTCGGGGAGAGCTCAATGATAATACCAACATGAGCCAGTGAAGCAACATCCTCCACAACTAGGTTGAAGAACAAAAGGACAGCAACTTGTCTGTTCCCCTTCCCCAATTCCCCAATAAAATCTTAAAAAAAAAAAAAAAGTTCTACACCTAAGTTTTACACATTAGAGATTTCCTCTAAGAGTTTTACAGCTTTGGTTTGTACATATTTAACTATTTAACCCATCTGAAATTATTCTTTGTAGATGGCGTAAGGTCCAACTTCATTCTTTGCGTGTGGGTACCCAGTTGTCCCAGCACCGTATATGGAAAGGCTACTTGTTCTCCACTGAGTTGTCCTGGCACCTTTGTTGTAAGTCACTTGATTCTAAATGTGTGAATTTGTTTCTGCACTCTCTATTCCATTGATCTGTACAACTGCCCTTATGCCAGCACCATACTGTCTCAATTACTGTAGTTTTGTAGTAAGTTTTGAAATTGAGAGGTATAAGTCCTCCGACTTTGTTTTATTTCAAGGTCATTATGACTATTCTGGTCCCTTGAGTGTGCACGTGAATTCTAAGATCAGCATGTTAATTTCTGCAAAAAGCGGGGCTAGGATTTTGCTAGGGATTCTAATGACTCTCTACATCAATTTGGGGAGTAGTCATCTTAACAATATTAAGCTCTCTAATCCATGAACACACGATGTCTTTCCACTTACTTAATTTCTTTCAATAGTGTTCTGAAGTTTTTCAGTATACATAAGTCTTGCACTTCTTTTGTTATATTTACTCCCAATGATTTTATGATGCTTCTGTAGCGGAACTGCTTTCTTAATTTCATTTTTGGACTTTAAGTGCTAGCATATAGAAATACTACTGAAGTTTCGGTAGTGATCTAGGACCTGCAGCCTTATTAGCTCTAGCAGTTTCTTCCCCCAATGTATGTGTGGATACTTTAGGACTCTCTATACACAAGTGCTATGGTCCGAATGTGTCTCCCACCCAAATTTGTATGTTTAAATCCTGCCCCCAAAGTGACAATATTAGGATACAGGGGCTCTGGGAGGTGCTCAGCTCATGAGGATGGAGCCCCAGAATGGGACTAGTGCCCATAAAGAGGCTCCACAGAGCTCCCTAGCCTCTTTCCCCATGTGAGCACACAGCAGGAAGCTGCCAGCTGTGAACCAGGAAGGGCACCTTGCCAGAAGGCAACTGTGTTGGCACCCTGATCTTAAGGCCACCAGCCTGCAGAACTGAGAGCAATAAATGTCTGTTGTCTATAAGCTACTAAGACTGTGACCTTTTGTTACAGCCTCCTAAATGAACTAAGACAACAACATCATGTCATCTGCAAATAGACGGCTCTACTTCTTCCTTCTCAACCTGGATAGCTTTTATTTATTTTTCTTGCCTAATTCCCTGGCTAGAATTTCCAGTACAAATGCCAAACAGAAGTGACGAGAGCAAACAGCCTTGTCTTGTTTCTGATCTTAAGATGAAATCACCCGACCTTTCACATTTAAGTATGACGTCAGCTGTGAGTGTTTCACTTACATCTTTTATCAGGTTGATTAAGTTCCATTCCATTCCTAATTTGTTCGGTGCTTTTATTACGAAAGTCTTTGCATTTTGTCATATGCTTTTCCTACCTCTAATAAGATGATCATGTGGTGGGTTGTTTTTTTTGCCTTTATTAATAGGATGTATTATATGAATTGATTATCAGATGTTGGACCAACTTTGCATTCCCGGGATAAATTATACTTGGTTTTGGTCATGATTTTTTTTTTTTAATGTAAACCACTTTTGGCTGAATTTTAGTATTTGGGAATCCTGAAAAGAAACCTAAGAATGACTGAGGATAAAAGGCTTTACCCTTTTAAAAGAATTAAAAAATGCAAGATTGAACACACACAATCTGACCTTACTTTTACATGCTTTAAGGTATGCTGGATTGTTGAAATTTGAGTAAAGGCGTTCCCTTTTCAATATGCAAAAGACACATTTTTTTTTTAAGAAGAGACAAGAAAAAGAAAAACTACAATGATGATTTGACCCATTATTATTTTTTCTTAAGTAAAGCACAAGTGTAGTTTCCCCAATTGCTGGTAATAAAAGTAAAAAAAAAAGCTTTCAAGCTGCACCATCTTCAGGCAGCACACGAACATCTCTCCCCATTACTGAGTCACAGATGGCTGTCTGCCCCTCCCTTCTCCTGCTGCATTGCTGCTTCCACCATGAGTACTCTTTAAATTATGTCTTTCTGCTTGGCAACCTTCCTTGTTATGAGAGAAGGAAAAAAGGAGTTAACAAAAAAGATTTAAAAAACTAGATAAATGAAACGTCTCTTCTACTCTTCCCAATCAGTGTCCTACAAATGATGCAGATGCTGTAACAGCTGTGCCTGAAAAGAGCGATCTCTGAGCTATGGTACTGAGGCTGGGGCTGGGGCAGACACAAGCTTTGGAGTCAGACCTCTGTGGGTCTGTCCTATCTCTGCTGCCCACTGGCCACGCGTACATCTTTGTGCCCACAGTGCACCGGCCTTCCCCTCTGGCACTCCATCTTCTGCACCAATGAGTTTCCCCTACTTGATGGCACTAGCATCTTTAGTTAGTGAGGCTCAAAATCGGAATATTTTGGCCTCATTCTCACACTATTCTCCAACTCCAATCTCTACATATTTAATTCCTGGCTCCATGACTGACTAGCTATGTAACCTTTGGTAAGTCATGTCACCACTCTGATTTTCAATTTTATCATATGAAAATCAATGTAATAATGTGCCTACTTCATAGGCTTATTGTGCACATTAAATAATTAGATGCATAAGGCTTAGAGCAGCATTCACTAAATGTTAGCTATCACGGTCATTACTGTTCTCCTCCAACCCTGTAACAGAGGGACCTGCCCAGGCTTGGGCTCCTAATGGCCTACAAAGAGAGGGTCAGAAGGGCAGCAGGTTACAGCTCTAATTTCAGGGACATACTAAACTGCAAGAACCTAGTGAATCAAAAAGCTTTCAGGAGGGGCTGTCAGGTGGCTCATTTGGTTAGAACATGAGCTCTGAGCAACAGGGTTGCTGGTTCAATTCCCACATGGGTCAGTGAGCTGTTGCCTTACAACCGATTCCAATACCACCCCCCCTGCATTAGCCTCTAACCCTATTAGTTATGAGGGAGTGTCTAGGTATGACCAGGCTGGTAAAGCTCTCTCTGGGGGGGTGTCTCAGGTGACTGGGACCTATTGGAATGATAATAGTTATCTCCCCTGGGAGGACACAGTAACAAGTGTTCTGGGGCTATGTGGCCGCATGTGTGAAGGCATAGCATTTGTTGGAACACAATGGGATATGTTAATGGAAAGAGGCCCGAAGGCACACAAATCACACACGGTTGCTAATTGATTGACAGCAGTTTTACTTCTTTGAAGATTCTCAATAAAAGCCATGCGCTGACCGGATTCGGGGCTCAGTCTTCTCTGGCTGAGTCCCTTGGTCTCGCTCTTATCTTACTTTTGTCTCTTTGACTTTATTCAATCTGCATCACTCCTCTCGAGACCCATTTGCCCTTGCCACGCAGGACGTGACAGTGAGCTGCACCCCCTGCAACTAGATTGAAGACGACAACTTCAGCTGAGCTACCAGTGGACAGCTGAGTGGCTCAGTTGGTTAGAGAGTGTGCGCTGAGCAACAGGGTTTCCAATTTGACTCCCACATGCGATGGTGGGCTGCACCTCCCAGCAACTAGATTGAAAACGGCAACTGAACTTGAAACTGAGCTGCGCCCTCCACAACTAACACTGAAGAGCAACAACTTGACTTGGAGCTGATGGGTCTTGGGAAAAACACACTGTTCCCCAATAAAGTTAAAAAAATTATTTTAAAAAAAAAAAAGCTTTCAGGAGATAAATGTTATTTTCAGTCCAAGAGAGGCAAATAAAATTCTCTAATTCTATATTCTGTTTGAGAAAACATAGAAACTTTTAAATTCTTTGAATCAATTTTCTAAGAGAATCAATTGTTAATTTCCTCACCGAATCAAAAGAAAATGCAGAAGAGGAACATTTATAAGAAACCAAAGATTTGGGGCCAGCCTAGTGGCTTGTTGGTTAAGAGTTGGCTTGGGAGCACGAGCTCTGAGCAGTAGGGCTGCCAGGTCGGATCCCACATGGGCCAGTGACATTGCCCTCTATAGCTAAGATGGTGAACAACAGCTAAACCTGGAGCTGGGCTGCCGTGAGTCACCAGCAACGGCGTAGGCTGCAGCCCCTGCTGCTGTGAGCCACCATGAGCAGCCATCCAATGGCAGGTGACCAATCTGCCTCAGCTGGGAAGAGTGCAATGATCACAATACCAACATGGGCCAGTGAAGCGACGTCTTCCACAACTAGACTAAAGAACAAAAGGACAGCAACTTGTCTGTTCCCCTTCCCTGATTCCCCAAGGCTGTTCCCTCCCCAAATTCCCCAATAAAATCTTTAAAAAAAAAAACAAAAAAAACTAAAGATTTGAACATGCTTATTATTTCTTATCCAATTAGGTAAAAACGTCTGTGCACACCACTTATTTAGGTAACTTATTCACAAATCTTTATATCCAAAGGAGAAAACACACCTTATTACTGAAGAATGTGTCTAGGACCAGCTGTCCACAAGCTCTTCGGTCTTCATCAGTGGCCACTTCATAGTCGGCCTAATTGTGGAGATGACAGAAAAAAAAAATGTTAGTTAAGCTTCTTCACTGACCTCATACTGTTTCCAATTCTCTGCCTTATGGAATCAACTTGGTTCCCTAAGAACCAGAGAGCAGCTCTACTGATCAAGCGTCTGCAGCTCCTCTTTGGGAAACTAACAGCTATGAGGGGGGAAGCCAGTTTTTGAAAGGGTTAATTAACAACATAGTAGAACACACACCCATAATGCTCTCTGTCTTATATTTTCAGCCATGGAATGTGGCCCCCAAACTGGGCTAAAAAAACAGCTTGAGCAGCTCAAGACAGCAGCACCGCAGAAATGCCTGCAAGGCAATTGGAAACGTGAGTGCAGCGCTCCTAGGAAGTCACTGTTGGTGATGCCTAAGGGACGGGGGTCATCCCCACAGGCATCAGGTCCCCTCTAGTGGACACCACCAGAACAGGTGAACGAGTGGACACAGGCCAGAACACAGAGGAAGCCTCAGATAGCTAAACATCTATAAAGGGGAAGCAAGGAAGAAGAAGTGGAAAAGAAAAAGAAAACCAGGAGAGATATCACAAAAGCCTAGATACCAGGATTTCAAGAAGACGCTACTCAACAATGTCAACAGACACTGAGACTCAAGCACGAGAATACCTCCATGAAGCCTCCGGGTTTTGCAAGTAGGGACCTTAGGAGAGCAGTGAAGCTAAAGCCGATGGAGCTGAGGAGAGAAGCGAGGAAATGAAGACCAAAGGAAGTTGATTTACTGAGCACATTAAAAGTACTCCAAGACAAAGTCCTGTGGACAGGAACCCAGCCTCACACTTCATTCTATACCCTTCACAGGTCCAGCCCAGGGGCTAAGGCCAGCAGGCTGACTGCCCAGTCAGAGACAGCGTCACGGTCAATGTTCAAGGGCACTGCACTCACCATGACGGTTCACCAGCACACTGTTTGCCTAAAAAGCCTTTAAACTTAAGTTCTGGGCTTCCGGATACCATATGGCAGGCACCCAGTTAATGGAAAAGACAGCACTGTGAATATACGCTGGGTTTCTTTTTTTTTTTTTTTTTAATAAAAAAAAAAACAAACTGATGACATGTGCTGGGAAGCAAGATCTCAAATGCCCCTTCTGACATGGTCTGTCTTGATGTGCCAGCTTGGCAAGCAACAATCTCCATT